ACATTTTTTTTTTTTTTTTAAAGCCAAACCTCTTTCTCATATTATCAAATCATCCTTTGCTGGCATTAAATTTAGCTTTAGATCCTTCGTTACTTTAAGTTGACGTAATGACTTTAGTTTTTCTCGAATCATGTCAGTCTATAAGTACGCCTTTCTTATAGCAACCCTGCATCCACATAAAAGCTGCATTTTCAGTGCAAGATAAAGATATTTCACAAAAAGTGCAAGTTTTTTTTTTTTTTTTTGCCTTTTGGTGTCACTGTAGTGACAACTTTGCCCATTTCCTTTTCTTTTGTTACAGTGGTCCTTATGCTGAATTAATTTCTTTGGAAATGGTAGGCAACCATAGCTGCAGACCTCAATCTACAGTACATATCAAGCAATTCAACTTTTTCTTATAATGTCATGACATTTCACTGCTGCTTGGGAGCATGTCCAGAATTGCTAGTGGCACTTTATGTGGGACCCATTATGTTATTAAATGTTTAATGCACAAAACATGATGAAAAATATGTGAGAACTGGGAGAGATCACTTTTACTGTGATACACAGTTTACTAGGGAGATGAACTTCCCAGCACATTGGGATGCCAAGGAGGGTGGATCATCTGAGGTCAGGTGTTTGAGACCAGTCTGGCCATGATAGTGAAACCCTGTCTCTACTAAAAATAGAAAAAAAATTATTTGTGTGTGGTGGCAGGTGCCTATTATCCCAGATACCTGGGAGGCTGAGGCAGGAGAATCGCTTGAGCCTAGGAGGTGGAAGTTATAGTGAGCTAAGACTGCGCCATTGCACTCCAGCCTGGGCAACAAGAACAGAACTCTACCCCTGCAAAAGAGAGAGAGAGAGAGAGAGAGAGAGAGGGAGAGAGAGATGGATTGCACGCTCTGAGACGATTACCATCACACAGTCTTTTAAGTGATGCTCACAACACTGGAGCTCAATGCAATTGTGGCAGGAAGTAGCTATGACATTTTTACAATACTACAGTATGGATTGTTACTTTTAATACAGTTGTGTTTTAATAATGAAGTTTACATTTCTCTTAACTGCAGATGGTACCATGTATTATAATTGTGTGTGTAAATTTTAAAGTATTTTAACTTATTTTTGTATCCTCTGAGATTTTTCATTTTATTAAATTTTGTTTTGTCTTGGTGCCAGTGGCTCCCACCTGTAATTCCAGTATTTTGTGGGGCTGAGGTGGGAGGATTGCTTGAGCCCAGGAATTTGAGACCAGCCTTGGCAACATGGTGAGATTTTTTTTTTTTTTTTTTTTTTTTTGAAATGGAGTCTCTTTCTGTTGCCCAGGCTGGAGTGCAGTGGTGTGATCTCAGCTCAGTGCGACTTCCGCCTCCTCAGTTCAAACAGTTCTCCTGCCTCAGCCTCTTGAGTAGCTGGGATTACAGGTGCATGTCACCACGCCTGGCTAATTTTTGTATTTTTAGTAGAAATGGGGTTTCACCATGTTGGCCAGGCTGGTCTAGATCTCCTAACCTTGTGATCCACCCACCTCGTCCTCCAAAAGTGCTGGGATTATAGGCGTGAGCCACATTACCTGGTCGAGATTTTAAAATAAAAAAATTAGTTGGGCATGGTGGTGTGTGCCTGTAGTCTCAGCCACTCAGGAGGCTGAGGCAGGAGTTTGACACTACAGTGAGCTGTCTTCATACCATTGTACTGCAGCCTGGATAGAGCGAGACCCTGTCTCAAAAAAATTTTTTTTTTAAATTGATGCATAATGAGTGGGATTTATTCTGGGAATGCAAGAATGGCTGAACATATGCAAATTGATCAATGTGATACATATCAACAGAATGGAGGACAGAAATCATATAATCATTTCAATTGCTGTTGAAAAGCATTTGATAAAGTTTACTATTCCTTCATGATAAAAACCCTCAAGAAACTGCACATAGAGGGAACATACCTCAACACAATAAAAGCTGTAAACAACAGATCCACAGTGAGTATCATGGAACAGAGAAAAACTGAAAGCCTTTTCTCTAACATCTGGAATGAGATAAAGATGCCCACTTTCATTACTTTTATTCAACATAGTACTGGAGGTCCTAGGTAAAGCAATCAGTAAGAGAAAGGAGTGGCATTTAAATTGGAAAGGAAGAACTCAGTTGTTTGCAGATGATATGATCTTATGTTTAGAAAAACCTCAAGAGTCCATGAAAACTATTATAAATGGTAAAGTCAGTACAGTCGCATGATAAAAATTAGCATACAGGCCGGGCGCGGTGGCTCAAGCCTGTAATCCCAGCACTTTGGGAGGCCGAGGAGGGTGGATCACGAGGTCAAGAGATCGAGACCATCTTGGTCAACACGGTGAAACCCCGTCTCTACTAAAAATACAAAAAATTAGCTGGGCATGGTGACGCGTGCCTGTAATCCCAGCTACTCAGGAGGCTGAGGCAGGAGAATTGCCTGAACCCAGGAGGCGGAGGTTGCGGTGAGCCGAGATCACGCCATTGCACTCCTGCCTGGGTAACAAGAGCGAAACTCCGTCCCCCCCACAAAAAATAATAATAATAATAATAATAAATTTAAAAAAATTAGCATACAAAATCAGTATCATTTCGGTATGCTAACAGTGAACAATCTGAAAAAAATTAAAAAAAGTAATCCAATTTACAATTGCTACAAGTATAATAAAATTCCTAGGAATAAACAACCAAATAAGTGAACGATTTCTTAATAACAACTATAAAACATTGATGCAAAAAAATAAAAAGGATTCCCAAAATGAAAGCTATTTCATATTTGTGGATTGGAAGAATTAATAATGTCAAAATGTTGATACTACCCAAAGCAATATACAGATTCAGTGCAATCCCTATCAAAATACCAATGACATTCCTCACAGAAATAGAAAAAATATTCCTAAAAACTATATGGAAACCACAGAGACCCAGAATATCCAAAGCCATCTTGAGCAAAGAGAGCAGAACTTCAAAT